ACCGAGTGTAATTACGACCACAGATTTCACGGAGGAACAGTGGAAGAATGTGTACTGGCCTATCGGCGCGATCCGTCCAGACGAGAAGATCAAGAGCCTAAACGAGCTAATGGGCAACGGAAATAAGTGGATGAAAGCCTTTTTCCAGATCGGCAGTAATTTCACTGCGATAGATGGCATCAGACCGCTGCAAGGCGAACAACCAATGATGGACTGGAGTGCCGTGCGCAATCAGCTGAAGGAAGCTGGCGGCAGCGTGCACTGGAACGGCGATAAGTTTGTCATTAAACCGATGACACTGCACTGTATCAACATGAGCGCCATCCGCGGGAACGAGAACCTCGGTTCGATCACGGTGTGGAGCAGTCCAAACCATGCTGACCTTTCGTCGGCTATAAACAAAGATATTGACAACGTTAACCGAGACCAGCTGGGTGACGACCTCCACCGGATGAAGCGCAGCTTGAACCAGACGTCTGAACATTTATCTCAGATAGCTCACACCGTTTCGACGTTAGTACCTGTGGGCACAATAGTAGCGTATCATCGCGATTACAACGTCCCTGACTGCTGGTTGGAGTGTAACGGCGCGGAGTTCAGTAACGGGGAATACCCGCTTCTGGCGGCTGTATTGCAGCGAACCATCACACCGGATTTGCAAGGGAAATTTCCCATCGGTATCAATTCGAGTGATCCATTAGTACAGCTGACTGGAGTGGCCGGCGGTGAGAAGAGTCATGTCTTGACAGCGGACGAAATGCCGGTGCACAGTCACACCATTCCGGCGTGGTCTCAAGAAGCGCAATATTATGAGGACGGGTCAGCCAATAAACTGGCCCCCTCGTCAGTCGGCGATGACAGCCAATACAGTGGCCAGAAAGATGTCACCAGTCTGTCGGTGGGAGGAGGTCAGGCTCACAATAACTTGCCCCCGTTTTTGACCGTTCGCTATCTGATTCGCGCGTGCTAAATGAAGGGAATTATTTGTGTACAGATAGAGCTTGTATTTTTCGTTTAAATTTAATGATTTAGCATATGTGAGATATATGTACTTACTATTACCGGCTCATATAATATTATCATTTTACTGGAAAAATTTACGGTACAAGCCAAATTCCCTTAACATTAGTGTGCTACAATTTTAATGTGTAATGTGAATACAATATCGATTCATAATTTTAACGGTTACAACCAGGGATTATTGCTTCCAAATTAGGATATAAAGTCGAAAGAGCGTTTCTATGATCTCATGTACATATATCATATATAGATATCTGCATTATAAAATTAATATTCGTAGATATGACTATATCAGTATTTTTGATAAGGAATAGCTTTGGTAGTACAAATAGTGCATGCACATGCAAACACGGATACATTTCATGATAGGTACAATTTAATCATCATAAAAGGTGCGTAGTAAATCCACAATAGTCCAAAAAACCCGAGGTACAAGCGAAAACACGAAGGATACTCGCGGCCTGGGCAGGAATGTATAACATAACCGGCATCTTCCGAATCTGCACTGCGCACGGCACGCCAGTCCATCATTGGTTGTTCGCCTTGCAGCGGTCTGATGCCATCTGCACTTTTCAATGCAATTATCTTTTAATTAGCGTGTCCCACGATATTCAGGGCCGCAGTATCTTTTGCGCAAACTGCATTTATCCTGCTATTTCCAACTGCATATCAAGCGCGAATATCTATATTTGAAAGCTACGTTTTAACTAGGGTAGTACAGACTACACAGTACACGCCAGCCGGTCCAGCTAAGAAGTTCCATGCCATACTTTTATATGATGTACAGCATTGCTGATTAGGTATAATTTGTACTGAACGCGAAAGTTTGCAACAAAAGTGCTCTCGACGTTTAAAGAGCATGTGTTTACCAAAATCGTTCAAAATTACAGTGAAAAGAGTAAATTATTTCGGTTTGTACAGATATAAAGAGAGCAAGAGGAAACTAAAACACATTATAACTGTAGTCGGTGACTCGGTACTATACTAAAGACAAGAAACACAATCTTGCGCTGTCTGACAATTAAATTTGACGCGCCGCACTAAATCGGTCGCTCTGGATCATGTCGGGGAGATGTCGCGCGCTCCTGATTAATCTCTCTTATCTACTGTTATAACACTGTAATAGTTAACGGCTTTCTTCTTCGATAGTCTTCCTAGATAGCACCACCTTAGTGTTTGCGTCGTAAATATGTACACACTACACATCAGCATAGAAACGGCTGATGAACAACAAGAATCACTATCTTTACAGTCAGTCGTCAAGCGAGACGAGGATGCGCACGAAATAACTGGATGCTTAGTTATGAGAAGGCAAGATAAATTCGTGACCGACCCTGTAAATCAGAAATCATGATGCTGACGAGAGATTATTAGTGAGCTCAATCCAATCACCGCGTAGCGGCTAGAAATTCAACATGGCTCCCTAGTCTCTTTTATCAAGAGTCGGTAGCTGCCGGTTTCTAAGCAACTTCGTAGGAGTACGTTACAACCAGCAACACAGCAGCAATTTGAAAGGAGCGTTTCGTTTTGCGGTGTGATTTGGATTAGTTTGCACGGTGGTAAATTATTGCAAGTTTGGTCTACGCTGCGACGGGACAGAATTATCACGGTCAACGTTTCAGTTTTGATCACCGATTTCCGTTAAGTAAAATGCTGAGATTCGTATTAGGAGGGTTGCTATGCTGGATGATGATGCCCCCACAAGGGGTTGTATGCTTTGACGGTATGCCAATGCTGCAAATGCCATCCATACAGTTCGGTAGGTCTTGAAGACTTGAATTAAAACACTGCAGCTGTTGTTGGTAAAAAGGTCAGCTGATATAATCATATACGCGGTTTTGTCAACTTCGGATTAAGTTTGTTATTTTCTGCATTACATATGTGCTTCGCATGCAACCTCTTCATTCTGGAATTTGTTTTTCTTTTTATTTGGAATATGAACAGTTTTAAAAATTTTAGAACCTTTCAAAGTATTTCCAAAGCTAGTATCTCCCAGCGGGGCGAATACTACTTTATTCCAGAATTTCCCCGTTTAGGTGTGTTTAAAATATTCCACACTCGTAACTTCTTAATCATAATCCCATGCTGCACCCGAAACGCTAATGGTCGCTTGACAGATAACTTTATTATTTCTGCAAAACAGCTGCAAACCGGGTTAGCAATAAGATGTCCGAAACCCGTCCTGCCGGGTTAGAATGTAATTAACTCATATTTACGATTTTGGATGTTTTTCAATGTTTAATTTTATTCATTTTCATTGGAATTAACCTGAGCAAGCGCACGGATGTGTGCGCTGGCTGTTGCGGAGTACAACAAAAAATACGATAATTATAATTCAAATCAGAAATGCGGTATAATCTAGTTACAATTTTCCAGTATTTTTTTTTCAAATAAATTAAATTAAATGTAGCAGAGTGATTGTTTAGATATGTCTCTGTATGCGAAAGCTTCTGAACTGAATGATTACTTCATCCTGCCCAACTCAAAACTGCCTTAATTTTTCGAAATAGTGCCAACTGTGGAAGAAGTCGATTCACTTTCTGCCATTTTGGAACGTCGTTCCGCCTTCCTGAGCATCCCATATAAAAACTTCCAAGCCAGAATTTACAGGGAATCTAATGGTTCGCCCAACGTGACCTACTATTACGCCCCAGCCTGCACGTTTATCCCCAACTCCACGTATATCGTGTACAATAACCATCAGAACTACCTGGTCTTCTCGTTGCAACTCTGGGATGCTGATTATCAAGACTACATTGAGACAGAATTATGGAAGCTAGGTCTGTTGTCCAGTTCTCTGAATCCTCGCATCATTCCCTTCCACAGTATGCGCTTGGAACTAATCGACAGTACACTGCCGGTAAAGGTCATGAACCAATGGATTCCCATTTCGCACCAACCGTCGACTGTTCTTGGACGGATTATCTGCTCAACGGAAAATGAGTGTAATATGATTAAGAACGCAGTGGAAAATCCCCGGGATCAGCTGCTCTTTGGTCTGGAAGCGTCGTTTGCGTTAAAGAAGCCCAATCGCACCAAACGCGAGATCACTCTCACCGCGACAATGTTCGAGGCCTCGGAGATTTTCCGTTCCATCGAGCACCGGTTTTCTGAGGCGCAAACCATCTGTATGCAGTTACCGGATCTACGTCGGCTTCTGCGGGAAGCCCTGGATCATCTCCTGGAAAAATCCGTTCCCGATGATGAATTCGTCGGCGAAAGCCAGCTATTCACAGCTGTCAAGAATTTTCTACGAATTATCAAGCCTAATGTGACGTTGACGACGGATTTCACGGAGGAGCAGTGGAAGAATGTGTACTGGCCTATTGGCGCGATCCGTCCGGACGAAAAGATCAAGAGCCTGAACGAGCTGCTGGGCAACGGGAATAAATGGATGAAAGCCTTTTTCCAGATCGGTAGTAACTTCACCGCGTTAGAAGGCATTAAGCCGCTCCAGGGCGAACAGCCTATGATGGACTGGAGTGCCGTGCGCAATCAGCTGAAGGAAGCTGGCGGCAGCGTGCACTGGAACGGCGATAAATTCGTCATTAAACCGATGACGTTACATTGTATTAACATAAGCGCCATCCGCGGAAACAAGAACCTCGGCTCGATCACGGTGTGGAGCAGTCAAAAACGTGCTGACCTTTCGTCGGCTATTAACAAAGATAGCGACAACCGCGATCAGCTGAGTGTCGAGCTCCACCGGATGAAGCGCAGCCTGAATCAGACATCTGAACAACTGCTTAACATATCTCAAACTTTATCGTCGCTAGTGCCGGTTGGTACAGTTGTAGCGTATCATCGTGACACCATCGTGCCGGAGTGTTGGCTGGAGTGTAACGGCGCGGAGTTCAGCAACGTAACGTACCCGCTTTTGGCGACAGTGCTAGGACGAACAACTACACCGAGTTTGCGGGGAAAATTCCTAATGGGCGTTAATCATTACAACGGTCCCGTTGAACGGGTAGTGGGAGTGGCCGGCGGCGAGAGAAGCCATGTCTTGACGGTGGACGAAATGCCGGTACACAATCACACCATCCCAGCGTGGTCCGTATCCAGTTATAATAATGTAAACGAGCTAATAAATAAATTGACCCCATCGTCCATCGACAACGGCAATCGCTACTATGGCGAGAAAGAAGTGACCAGCCTTTCCTCGGGAAAAGGTCAATCGCATAACAACCTGCCGCCGTATGTGACTGTTCGCTATATGATTCGCGCATGCTAAAGGAAGGAAGGAAGTGTTTAATATTATGTTTAATTGTACCTCTGTATGGGATCGGTTATTAACCGATAATATGATAATAATCCAAACGTCTGCTATCAGTTTCGGATAATGTGCTACGTTATTACCATTTCATGGTAATTTTAATATTAATAATGAATTAAATTAATGACGTGCGTTTCTGTAAACCTAATGCAAAATACGTTTTTGATTTGCGGTGTCTTTTGTACTTCGAGCGTGTCTTATGAGCCTAATGTTAAAAGTTATAATAAATTAATGGGCAATCGTAATAAATCAATACGCATGTGCCAGTTTATTACTTACCACTAACAGAAAACAGATGCGCATAATACTCGTATAATTCTTTCTTTACAATACAGTAAGTACTCCTTGTTGACAATATGTACACGACTTTATGCAATATGCACCAAAGTTTTCCGGATACATCCTGTGTGCGTGACTGCAGTTGTTACGATACAATTTGTGTACAAACACTCGAAATTTTTACGCTAAACTGTTGATATTACACTCATACAGACTACTGAGAAACGTCCGGTCATTATCATGTGGTGTGCAGCTAGGAGGGAGTGCTTAGGTAAGTATTTTTGGCAAACTTTATTTTTCACCGGAAATGTAAAGAAGAATCCTACATGCTAAACTTGGTGCTCATGGAATCTTGGCCAAAACTTCAAGTACTATAAATTTTTTCCGTGAAAAATGTAGCAAACAAGTAGGATTTACCGCTAAATCTGAAGTGTCTGGGCAGGGCGCGTGTTTCCCCAAGATTATGCATGATAGATGATAGTGCGAAAACATCAATTGCGTGTTTCCAATACAAGTATAAATAACTAGGATAACCCGCATTTCCAGCATATCGCGGTGTGGTAAAATAAAATTCCAATAACTCTGTTAAAGATTAACTGCGTGAAACCGTTAACTGCTTGTTTTTTTTTGTAATTTCGATTAGCAGATCCATAATGAAGTTCACCAGTGTGTTTTTTGGATTGTTGGTGATTTTGGCGGCTGGTAAGTCAGGTGGTGGTTATTAGATTATGCGGCGTAGTGGCGTGAAATGTTACGAAAATTTATTGACAGCTTTATGGAAAAATAGATTGAATATGAGCTTGAGATTTGTGACCTTTGAAGCCTTATATGTTTTTCTTGCTTAGCGGTCTGGGTTGATTTGACGGCTGCGGATCCTGGGCATCATAGTGGTGGATATAGCGATTATGGAAAGTACCGACGCCGTTATGGCCCAAGTGGTTATGGCTATGGTTATGGTAACAACTGGCGCTACAAGCGAGGAGCCGAAGTTTTGGAAGGAATACCCAATAATCTCATTTAATACCTTCATGGGAAATAGCCTCTGTTCCAAATAAGCCGGAATACTTTTGCGAAATTCATATTTCTTTAAAGTTTTAGAAGTGCTGTACAGTATACTAATACTGTTCTAGGTATGCATTGTGTATGCATTATTACATAATCGTGAACGCTGTACAGGAGATGTAAATACAGCAGTAAAATGTAATAAAATTTAATGTGATGTTCATTGATAGAGGTACCCATGCGCTGGAATCTTTCAGATATTGTCAGAATCTATCATGTACTCGTATACAAGAAATAAATGCCGTTTTTACCCAATACGAGGCACCTGAAAAGAGCTAAAAATTCAACACGCATTAATGAGTTAGAAAATAATAATATTTTTATGTACACTACAAGATATAGGTTTCTGAATATTGTACTCTTCTTTTTTTTTATCAAACTCTGTTTATTGATTGATTGGCAGTCTACTGCGGCTCAAGCATCTCATAAAGTTATCTGTACAGTACTGCTTTTAAGGTGTGTTTCTACGTTTTTCCCTTATTTTTGTCAAAAGGGAATTCAAAATAAATTTTTGAAAAATATTTTAACGAGTAGCGTAAGACGTTACACTTATTTGAGAACCAACCATACTCGTGTTAACATTTTAGAGTCAGAATCAAAACCTGAAAAAGCAATCAAAATCTCTAACATCTCGACGAGATGATCTCGTGAAGTATTTTGACTGCTAAGTAGTGTACCCGCGATTGCGTCTTACGCTATGCAATAGCTATCGCCTATTAAAGACAACGCTGAACACTTATGCAAGGCTAACCGAATTGCGGGCCACAAAGGAGGAAATCGCTCACCTAAAGGCGGTATCTGTCCCCGAATCTGGTGTATGGATTCATGCGTTACCCGCAGCATGTCTCGGAAATTTGCTGGAAAACAACACTTTTCGCATAAGCATAGCGCTACGCTTGGGAGCTCCAATCGTCACTCCTCACGTGTGCGTTTGCGGTGGACTAGTGGATGATCTGGGGCGGCACGGGCTCCGTTGTAAACGGTCAGCCGGCAGATTGCCAAGACATGATGGCCTCAGCGGAGAGTTCACCCGCGGCCTGAAAACCGCAGGTTTCCCAGCCAGAATGGAACCAAAAGGTCTCTCTGTGAAAGATCGCAAAAGGCCGGACGTGATCACGCTCGTACCCTGGGAGCGCGGAAAGCCACTGGCTATCGACGTGACTTGCGTAGACACACTAGCGGCTTCGTATATTGATCGGACCCTGGTGAACGTCGGGGCTGCGGCCGAGCACGCGGAGCGAGGAAAGCTGACAAAACACGGCTGGCTGCAACCAAGGTACAATTTCATGGCAGCAGCATTTGAAATCTACGGACCCTGGGAAATGGAACTAAAACGCTCGTCCAGAAGATAGGAAACGGAATTGCAACTGCTACCGGCCAAAAACGCGCAAAAGAGTGTTTTAGGCAGCGGCTATTTATTCAAATGCAACGGGGAAACGCGATATGCGTGATGGGTACAATCCCCGAACAGGATAGCATCGAAGAAGTGTTTTTATTATAAATTATATTCTGCTTTGGTACTCAGTTTTGTACTAGCACTGTGATACTTATTAAAGGTCTTAACATTAAAGACAAACTTTTTAGACAGAAAATAATCGTGGCGCGGGTTAATAATAATAATATGTTTCTGAAACCGCTGCACGAAAAATCAGTCGGTGATAACAGTTGGCCCCTTTGCGATGCAATATTACGGTATACCTTACTGCCGTCAAAATAAAGAATAATTATTACGCTCACAGTAAGCACCGGTTTTCCACTCATCATAGTCACGTTTCCTATTGGCTGAAAAACAAAAAATGATGATTTGTAGATTTAGTTTCCCCCGGAGACACTGCAGAAACGCAATAATTTTTCTTCCAAAAATTCATTACACCTTGGTGAACAACCTGAAGCGGAAGTGTCAGCCTCCAGCAATTAAACACAAACTGCAGCATTTTATATTAAGGAAGTTTAGTTACAGGAAAGAAAGGGTTTCAAAAAAATCTGGCCGGTATACGCGAGTACGGACATCTACATCTTGAATTCCATTAATGCAGCGAGAAGCCACCAACCGAAACCTTGGCGGTGCAGCTAAGACACAAAGAGGAATTCCATCCAGCAAACACCGGACAGCATGTTTAGAGCTGTGTTAGGATTGCTGTGGTGTCTTCAGATTGCACCGCAGCACTGTGGTACGTAAAAGGCAATATGAGGCACTACCGTCCATAAGTTGAAAGTTTCAGTACCTTTGTCATATATAATGCTGCGCCGTTTGGCTATATAGTGGCCGTAAAATATAAGAGCCATACTTTTTTTTTGCAGCTGCCTCTGTCGACCTGTCTTCCGCCTTCATCAACGTCCCATACAAAAATTTCCAGGTACGAATATATAAAGACACCGGTGACTTGGCGGCTAATGGGTCTTACTACTACGCACCCGCTGGCTTGTTTGTACCCAACTCAACATATATCGTCCATAACGAGCTGCAAAGCTATGTAGCCTTTTCAGTTAAATTATGGGATATTTACTACGGAGAACACATCCAATCACAACTTTCCCAGCAGGGCCGTCAGTTGAGTCCGTCAAACGTTCGCATTATCCCATTTCACAGTATGCGCGTGGACGTAATAGAGAACACCCTACCGATAAAAGTCATGAATCAATGGACGCCCATTCCGCATCAACCGGCTTTCGTACTGGTGCGCATTCTCTGCGCAACCGATCCTGAATGCACCAGCGTTCAAAATGCCGTGGAGAATTCTCAAGATCAGCTTCTGTTCGGCTTAGAACTGACCTTCGCGCTGAAGAAACCGGTGGATACTAAGCGGAATATTTCGATCAAGGCTGCAGCTCTTCAGTCATCGGATACATTCCGGGCAATCCAGCAGAAATTCTACCGAATGCCGGTTGTATGTCTGCAGTATACCGATCTGCGGCGGCTGGCGCGGGAAGCCCTCGATACTCTTTTGGAGGAAGCCATACCCGATGAAGACTTTGTCAGCGAGAACGAATTGTACAAAGCTACGAACAGCGTAGTCCGGCTTTTAAAGCCCAACGTCAGGTCGACTACCGAATTCACGGAACAGAGCTGGAAAGGCGTCTTCTGGCCGGTCGGCAGCATCCGTCCTGACGAAATGATAAAAAATCTTAACGAATCTTTAGGTAACGGTAATAACTGGATCAAAGCGTACTTTCAATCGGGCAATAATTCCACTGCCCTGGAGAGCACTTCGTCGATGGACTGGAGCGGTATTCGTTCGCAGCTAAAAGATTCGAAAGCTTTTATCCTTTGGAACGGTGATAGATTCATTATCCGCCCGATGACGCTGCATTGTATTAACCTTACCGCGCTAAATTCGGACGGCGCCATAGGGCAAATAAAAGTGTGGAGTAGTTCAAAAGCCGGGGATCTCTCATCGGCCGTCAATGTGCCATTTTCCGGAAACCGTGAATCAACTGTAATGGATATTGAGCGTTTAAAATCGACCGTTGATGACGTAGCGCGGCAGCTATATAATTTATCCACAGCTTTGGAAAATACCACACCTATCGGCAGCATTATAGCGTACCATTGCGACGCTTCCCTACCGCCGTGCTGGTTGCTTTGCGATGGGGCGCCTTTCGATAACGGAACGTATCCACTTTTGGCGACTGCGTTGTTTCCGCGTGTTAATACACCGGATCTGCTAGAACGCTTTCCAATGGGAATCAGTCAGAAGGGTAATTACAGCTATGTGGGGCAAAGGGGCGGTGAGGCAGAGCATGTCCTTACCATTAACGAGATACCGTCGCACAGCCACGAAATTCGATCATGGCCGGACTCGGGGTACAATTACGTGTATGGGGATAACAAACTGAAGTCTGGCATCATTACGGACAGAGATGTTGACGGCAGTGGAGGAAAACGAATGAACACCACGACGACGGGAGGCGGTCAGGCACATAACAATTTGCCGCCATTTTTGACGACAAGGTTTATAATACGAGCTTGCTAGTTAAAGATACGGATACTTACCCTAGTGACAATTGCTTAAGGTACCAAATTCTGTTTTTTTTTATATTACAGTGATCGTTTTTCGTGTTTGTATGACAGTTACTTGTTGTTTTAGTCAGCGTATTTAATACAGACACAGTCGCCGACGACTTTTAACTAACTTGCTAATTGCTTTTTCTGCTGGTTGTTCGACGTTTTATCTGTTCCTTTCCAGCTGCTCTATCAATCGTGCTTTCATAGTTAAAGCGAGTGTCCATAGCCTTTATTTTAAAAAGCAGTTAGTGTCAAATTATTTTATCAACGTTTTAATGGCTGCGCATTAATTAATTACAGCTTTGTGCCAGTACCTGTACATGTATTGCATTACAATCTTGCGATCGGCTTCTCGCGAGATAAAAGAAACGGAAATGCCGCAAGCTATGAAATTTCTCGCATCTACAGATTCTATACATACGGCTGCTACACATACATACATACAGACTGACTGCATATACATACATACAGATAGTACAGACTGCATAGTCGAGTACATACACGTGAAGTGCAGATAGGATGTTTTGAATAGTCCGAAGTCTACGAACCATGATTAAAAGACCTGGAAACAGTGCAAGTGTTGTCTTATAAAATTCTCAAGCGCACACCGGTATACGTTCGTACCGCACATGTATACAGGCGCAGTTATCGCTAACGATATCGCAGACAAGCGGAATCTTTAACTTGATGCCCGCAGCGGCGGCAAAGTAGCAGCATGTAAACAAACTGCTGCCAACGTGCCTGTCTTATGTCGGTGTAGCACAAAAAATCTCTTCTGGCAATTCCGGAAGAACGATGCGTTTGTAATTTCACAAATACTGCGTTAGAGCAGGTGTTTACCATGGGCGACAATCCCAGCACTACGAACAGACCAGTCATCAAAATTACGCATTTTAGCACTTCTCCACTGCTAGCGAACGGTAAGCGTTATGCGCTAGACTGAAGTCTTTGAGTAAGAAATGTTTTAATCTACCAGAAAGCTCTAACGAAATGCATGCATTTACATGTACTTCGAAGTATAGAAAGTGGTCGTCCAACGGGAAAAAGACTAACAATTCCGGAAGTATACGGCGTCTCGGATATCCCGAACCCCGAATTAATTAAAGCCCACTTTTTTACGGAAGACCGATTAGACGAAACTTTGGCTCTTCGGATACTCCATGACGCGTCTGAGATCTTCCGTACCGAACCCAACGTTCTCGTCCTCCCTTCCAACATTACCGTCGCCGGCGACATCCATGGCCAATTTTACGACCTCCTCACGATTCTCCGCACTGGTGGACCCCACTTCTTATTCCTCGGCGACTACGTCGATCGTGGCAGCTTCGGGATCGAGTGCATCCTGTACCTCTTCGCACTAAAGATCTCCTTTCCCACCAAATACTTTCTCTTACGCGGCAACCATGAAAGTCGGCATCTCACCGAGTATTTCACATTCAGGCATGAATGTCTGGTTAAATACTCCAAAACCGTGTATGACGCTTGTATGGATGCCTTCGACACACTACCACTGGCAGCGATCATCAATCAGCAGTTTCTGTGCATTCATGCCGGTCTTTCACCGGAGCTCCACACCATCGCGGATCTGAATAAACTCCCACGGTTTAAGGAGACCAGCAGTGCCGGTCTCATGTGCGATATCCTCTGGTCAGACCCAGTTCAAGAATTCGGGAATGAGCTAACTCCGTACTTTTACCTACATAATACAGCGCGTGGATGTTCATATTATTACAGTTATTACGCCGTGGAGGAGTTTTTGCGGAGGAATAAATTACTGGGAATTATCCGTGGTCACGAAGCACAGAGTGCCGGGTTTAAAATCTATAAGAGCAAACAAGCCGATAGTTATCCAGTTCTCATTTCCATCTTTTCCGCGCCGAATTACATGGATGCGTTCAAGAACAAAGCCGCGGTGCTGAACTACGCCGACGGGAAAATCCACATTCGACAATTTAACAGTGTAGAGCATCCATTCTGGCTGCCCAACTTTGCGGACGCGTTTACGTGGTCATATCCGTACATTGTCAGAAAAGTGCGGGAGATCATCTTGGTTGTATTGAGTATTTGCACGGAGGAAGAACTGGCCGAGAGCGAGAAAGACAGTCGCCGGCGCCGAGCGGTAGAGCGGAGTAAGCGCGTGTTTACGTTGAAAGTGCGCGCGGTGGAGAAGTTCGTGGAGCACTGTAAAGGGATCGAACAGTGTCAACCGTATAAGGACTTCTTGACTCTCGATTATTTCCCTTCCCCGGAGAATGATGCTCTCTTTGACAAAATTGATGTTATAGACGATACGACCGTTTCCACAGAAACAAAAAGTCTGCTTGTTAAAGCAACGTCATTGCCGACTGATTTACGGCACCTTGGCAAGACAACCAGCGGTGATGCACGCGGAGACGCACCAGTAATTCGGTCCAGTCAAAGTGTAGCACACTTTTCGATTGGTGACGATAGCGATGAGGAAGATTGAACTGTTGAGTTTTGAACTGTTCTTGAACGTCTTCCCCCGAGAAACACATTTTTTAATAACATTGTTTGTTGTCTGCTTTATTTGTCAGTGATGTCACCATTCTAAATTTTAATCGATTTGTTGCTGAAAGGAATTACAGTATGCTTGAACAGGTGCCCTTTCCACTGTTAGTTGGAAAAACAAGCCCAAACTGGTTCACCGTCTAAATGAATACGAACCATGACATTTTTATTGTTTTTTTTACGGAGTCCTCGGTTGATGATATACGAGTAGCTTCAACTGGAGTGTGGCGATAGGGCAGTACATACGGTTAAATCAACCGCGGTACATAAGCACCATGTTTAGCCAAAACGTAAAACTCCAGCCGGGTGACGGCAGCAGTAAGAAATACGGCTCGGGTAGACTGGCCGATGTCAGTCCCGTTCGCACATGGAACTACGAACTGCCTACCTTGGTATATGAAAACCGCTTCACCAAACCGGTGCGAACAAATTAAAGGTTACTCGGAAAACTTCCGATTCGTCAAAAGTGACACTGTCTCCACTATGACTCATTGAGCACTGCGTCTAGCAATACAAACAAGCCAATCGCAGAATCACCCCCCCCTTCCTTATAATCTCATTGATTTTCCCTCTGCCCGATAGCCAACTGGTTTTGCAGCTTCCATTTTGTCGTGATTTTGTCAATAATTTTGTGCATTCCCAAGCACTTACTTTGGTGTGGGGCCTGGTGTGAAACGGGCTGTTACCGTACCTACTGGGTGCCGGGCCACTGCCGGCTACCGTTTGACGTCAACATCCTTGCTTACATCGGAGCGGTTGCCATGGTGAAAGATTTGCGATTTTGTTTGTTTTTTCAGCCAATTCTCTTCTACTTCTAGCGGTCTAGCTCGAATGTTTATCTGGGTTTCTACAACTCTGGTACGGTTTCGGCAGTCCTCAGTTTTCTCTCTTCTTCACAGACTTTTCCAAAGAACTAGTGCGTTTTACATTCGGAGTTTAGACAAAGAAAGTTGCTGTTTTGTTGTTGTTGTTGTTGCTTTCCAATTTGCAATCCAACAACGAGCAGTGAAAATACTGCACGTCGCGGTGGAGCACGTTATATTGCTGCACTTCAGGAGAGTACCTGAATTTTTATTTGGGCTGGCGTCACGAAGTTTCTCTGGAATACCACTACGTGCTGAGTGCTCTCTTCCTGGACTGCTGGTGGAAGTCAGTTTTTCACCCGAAGAATCAGATTGACTATTTGATTGATGATGATTTTATTTGATTGATTATTTACAGCTGCTCATTGTTCATATTTCGATCTCACCTTGTAGCAAAAGGCCGAAAGCGTTGCATCCCAGAGTAATTAAGGGACCAAGTTACGATACCGCATCTGGCGCACCATAATATAGGTAAGCCTAAGCGAGTTTCATCGTGAATCGCCGTACATTTTCTGGAAACTAAGTCAACTGAGACAATAGCTCCGTTTCAAGGACAATAAACTTCACTTCGCATCGGATAAGTGAGAAAGTGAGGTATGTAATTTGCTGAACTTTTTCTGAACACCCTTTGGAGATATCGTGTTTATCTTGAAAACTTATGCAACTTTTTTGATACTTTTTTTTAAAAGGGGAATTCAAAAAAGAAAAGGGGGTATTGCGTTAAACACTAACCAAGCTTGCAAGTTGCAAGAACCTGCGAGAATTGAAATTTTTAGTTACAGACTTACAGTTGCGGGTTGCCATTATATTTCAACCAGTTTTGCAATATTAGAAAGCGTTTGCAGTTGCAAACGCTTTCTAACATTGCAGTTGCAAACGCTTGAAAATACCGTCTCAAATAGTACGAGTATAAATAGAAAACAGCGTAACCTAAGAAACCTAAGATAACTTTGCCTGAAAGTGAGAACACCGACACTGCATCTGAGGAAGATGCTGTCGTCAGCAACACCACCGAATCTGCCAGTGTTATAGAAGAAGCCGTTGAAAGCGAAGCTTTGCTGTCACCATGCTACAAAGACACAGGCAGTTTTAAATCTCATCCGCATCGATCACGGGGGTACTTGTTCATCATACGCGCCTGTGGCCATATCGATGCCTTTTCTCCACTGTATAAGTAAGAGATATTGCCTGAGTTACTACAGAACATATTAAACGTAACGGTGACACAAACATCAATGGTTTACACGATCATCACAGAACAAAAATTCACTTTGCAGGTCAGAATCGGTCTCACAGGTGTTCCTAATTGTCGCGGCATGGCTATACCACACTCTGAAAACTTATCCACAAGAGAAATGGGGATCAATGTTTATTGCATACGACAATATGTGCAAACTGGATTCTCTGAAAGCAACTAAGCGGCCGCTTCCGTTAGCCAAACCTTACGATACAATGTGGAGCGCCGTAGGAAAAGTTATTGACAAGTTCCACCTAGACAACCACGTTGGTCATGAGTGTCATACCTTATATAATCCGGTTCGCATTAAGGAAACCCACCCAACTCTCAAATCAGCCAACACTCAAGCTTGCGAGCAAACAAACGCTTGGATTGGGCGCTATAAATTCGCGCTGTTAAAGATGTCCAAGTATCGTCAACTCTTTTTCCTGCACAGGCTCATCAAACGGCGGAACAAATACTTGGCAAAACTATTTTCTGCCGATCTTGACAACGAGATGCCACTGGATTGAAGCTTCACCGAATTCAGTCCCACTATGCGGTAGTTGTTTTGTGTCAAACGATAGTGGACAGTCTTTGTGCTTCATAATTGTGCTCACATTTTTCCCCAAGGATTTAATATTATTTTTAAGCGTCGTGTCTAAGCCAGCAAACCGATTTTGCAATCGCGTCCGATCATTTCGGCCGAGTTAAATTTGAATCATATGCGATCAGCACCGACGCTGTTCATTTCGCTTAATAGTCACTGTGGCTAGCACTCAATACGGCCACCACTTGTTTGGCCTTCAACATTTGTGGGTCTAGTCTTCGTTACTTTCTGTTTATGATTTTCCAATGTTTTTTTTATGCTCCTTATGACTTTATATGCCTTTTTGTCTTTTGTCTTTATTTTGTCTTTTTATGTCATCGCTTTGTTATTTCATTGATAAAAACCTAAATACTGCAAAAAAATAACGTTAGGAAAATTTTCCTGATCATAGACGGTGATCGTCTTGTACAGCTTCTCACATTCTATGGCTTCTCAGTATGTGAGCTGCCCGTGGCACACATGCGGTTTCACGGTGGTTCCATTTGCTATAGGTTCATCTGGTTCAAAGAGTAGAGCGGTAGTGTGACATCGTGTGAGCAAGTTTGAGCGTACTTGGTTCACTTGTGGTTCCACGGAGGTTCCATGTGGTTCCATAGGTTCACCTGGTTCAAGGGGTAAAGCGGTAGTGTGACAGCGTGTCGGCATGTAGGAGTATACTTGGTTCACTTGTAGTTTCACGGTGGTTCCATGTGGTGCCATAGGTTTATCTGGTTCCATTGGTTCAGAACCTGGTGAACCACTCGTGTCCTAGCCTATGGGTTCATTCCTATGGAACCACTTAATGTCCTAACTTGGACATTCTATGATTATCCTCAGTGCAATTGGAATGCCAAGAAACAGTGTTACTTTCTCTCGTCGACGGCTGTGTACAAGTGCCTCCGCACCAGCACCCGCCATGTCATTCTGACGGATCCCGAGCGGCAGATGAAAACGGAGGATGTGCTGAAAGTGCTGGACATGATCCATTACCTAGCGCAGCAGCGAGCAGGGGTACACCTGACGACACTGCATCTAGTCGGCTTGCAGCTGAACTTCCTGATTACCAGCTCAACCGACGATTTTAACCCAGTAGCCTGCGTCCTGCATAACAGTGACGCTGGGCGTCAGCACACCTATTGTCCGATCCGTGGATACTGTCGTCTGGAGGACTTCATATGGATAGGCCGCGGTCTGCCTTGTAAAACACTCCACTTGGTAGATTGTAGAATCAAATGGCTCTGTCCCTTCGACACGCCCGACAGACGGAGACGGGGCCCCGTTCTGACAATGGAGTTACCGGTGGTACGCTTGATGATAAATGAGGATTTCGGATGCTCAGTGTGGACGGCATGTGAGACGGCGTTGGCGGTGCCGTCTGATGCAGAGCTACACGAGCTGGGCCGGTGGGTCACTGCTGTGTTCGGTTTGCGTGACGATGACCTGCGCCCAGTTGCCGTCTGCAAGGTAAGATTGTCTGCCAGAGTTTTTATCTTCCTTTCTAACGTCTACGAGGATCAATACATGTGTGATAATTTTACGTTGGCAGACGTTGTGTGCCACACACTCCAGTGATCCGCGTCCCTCTGCATATTACCGGGGGAGAAAGTGGTGCGTCGACGGCCTGGGAGATGTACAATTGGCGAAACTGTCGCGTATTACCATGTATTTCCTCAAGCAGCTAGCACTGCCTACCGGGAAAGGCTGGAAATTTGCGTGACAGTCGGTATCCTGAGCAATGCATTAAGTGGCAGTCTTTTGAAATGATTTTATATCATTTGGTATCATTTATGAGTGTGTTTTCCGGTTGGATCAGTGTATTTCGCTGTATTCACTTCTTCCTTTGTAGTGTTGGGTCATTTTTATATAGCTATCCAATTTTTTTTATTGATGTTTGTACCTTTGTAACGACGTAGCCAATAGATATAGTTTTCCAATCAGCGAGTGTGAAGTCTAGAGTCTGGATACTGGGCCCGCTTTATAATCTGCACGCATGCTTTAATTTATAAAGTACTAGTACATTTCTTACGCAGCCTTAAGAAAACATCACTAATTAGTAATTACTCAGTGTCCCTTGACCCACACGGTTAATCACAGAGAACATTTTACCTAAATTTGCCCCTATCGGCGCCGTTCCCAGGTTAGATGCCGCATTGCTTCGTCGGATTTAGTCATTTAGATGCTGATCCGCTAGCGCAGAAATTATGTGGCCCGCTTTTCGCCCGTTTCCGGATGGATCTTCTCTCCCACCAATGTTATCATGCCGGTTGCTCCCGGTTCTGGTGGTCCGACTGTCTCGAAGTCCAGAGCGCTGAATAGGTAGTCTTGGGAGATATCTCGGTATTTTTCCCCCTTGCTTTGCGGGGCCCTCCCGCGCGTGTTGCGTTGCTACGATGTGCGATATGGCCATTCTGTTGTCGCAGGCCAACATTTCGCCCTTTCTCACAGGAGTCACAGCTACTAGAATAGTCTATTCTAGTGGCTTTGCCGCTCTTCCATCGTGTCAAGGTGACAACATCTTGGCGGTTGCTGTCTGTTAGACAGCAAGCTACCTTGTGTACAGAAACCTACCTTGTGTACAGATTGTACAGATAGCTTGTGTACAGATTGTACAGATACCTTGTGTTAGACAGTTTCTTTCAAAGCCGCCAAAAGACAGTTGCGCTTTCAAATAGCGCTTAGACATTTATACGTAGGGATACTTCAACGGCTTTTCTTGCAGCTGACCATGAGGGCATGGTAGTCCCGGGCGTCTGTATATTTTTTTTGTCTTTTGCTTCGGCCATTAAGCAGCCGGTGTTGTCTCGGTAAACAGGTACACATGCACGTCCTGACCAGCGGAAATCATCTGTCGGCTATCTTCCTACTACATTATTTTCTATCATACCAAATCTGTGGAATTCTTCATTTCAAAGATTCCTAACTGCGGTTTCGTTTTTTCAGTACCGGGTACACGTATGTACGCTGTCGGGGTTCATGACGGATATTTTGCAATATTTCGACATGAGCGCTCTTTGAGCTGCGTCGAGCTGTGTCGGGTAATACAAAACGCCACTGACAGCACACGAGACCCAGCGAAAAAGGAAACAGTCATCACTGAAATGATGCAGGAGAATCCTGAAAAATGATGATTAAATTTATTTGGAAGCTCTGACGTGCGGGTGGGCAGAGCACTGGGAACGGAGAATACAACTCATTAATTTGAGAGATGCAGTCAGATGGAAAAGCAATACAGTCGCTTGATCAAAATTATTCTTCCAATTGCATACACAGACCATGTCAAATTGTGACCTTGAGAAATTCCCATATGCTTGCTGGCTGATGAAATTTTGAATAGGTTTCCTTTCAGTTTTATTTTCGTTTCGACCCATAGTAAACGTAAGAGTATAACAGCGGCTCACTCAATTCATCCACAAATTAATAGTGCAGTCTACGCGTTACGCAAACGGTGATACTTGTTGTTGCTGATGTCCGTACGTGCAATATTTACGTCTAATTTCGTGCGTAGGTAGCTCTGACTCAACATCGGACGACTCCCTTAGAAATGGGGACAAAGGGTTAATTTCCAAATTACCTCTGGGAGGCATACATATTTCCATGGAAAATACGATGCGCGAAATTAAACGACAAACTGCACTACTTCACGCGAAGAGCCATCCGCCAAGCTGCGCGTTGCTTTGTTTCCCAGCAAAAATATGGGTGAGAACACCAGCATTAATAACGCATCAGCCCCGTTATACTGGCATGCAAATAATAACTTTAAGCATGGCGTGATATCTTCGCACTGGTCTGTTCACAACTTCATCGAACTGTTAATGGTAATTGCAGCCGTTGGGTTGAATTTTGGTGTCCTCCTATACAATTTCATCAAGCCGCGACAAATCACCTCCTTTAGCATTTACCTCATAGCGTTATATTTGGCCAATCTGGTCTTCTTTCTCGCTGCGCGTCCTTTCCTGATGATCAGCGAGGTGTACGCCACCTGGACGCTGGGTCGTAGTATGTGTATTTTTTACTTATACGTGGCCAAAGTGGTCAGCATTATCCCAGTGTACATGCACGTCCTGATTAGCGTTAACCGTCTGTGGGCCTATATCTTTCCGCTGCATTATCGCTCCTATCATACCAAGTCTGTGGCATTGCTAATCTCCTTAGCGGCGGTTGCGTGGGTACATGTGTTTGCTTTATCAGGATTCCTTGTGGATATCTTGCGGAATTACCGGCGCGAGCACATCCCTAACTGCACAAGCTATGCAGGATTCATAATGGCGTGGAAACATACCGAATATGTTGTTGATCGCATCTTGCCTTTATGTTTCATCGTTTCTGCTTACACGTACTTGGTAATCAAGCGCCGGCAAAACGAAGAAGGCACAATTCAGCTGTTGCACCACAACGGGCGTTAACCGATATGACGCAATCGCCGGCCTACGCAGCGGGTAATACGACCCAGATAGAAAGCCAAAGGTCACTACGCAAGGTTAAACCCTTTTTGGTCCTCACGTTGACATCTGTCAGCGTTCTTGTTTGCTGGATGCCTATAGATGTATATTTTATTTGTTGGTTTCTGGATTGTCCCTTATTACGGAATGTATTTTACGTTTGCTCTCTTTTATATGGCGCTGAGGGTGTGTTCGATCCTTTCATGTTCATTTTCAGTCTACGCAGACCGAAATCGCGTTACTATAGCGGATAATGTACGAGCGGTGCGTAAAACAGCGGTGCGTGAACTGTGATGAAAAATGCCTAATACAGTAAAATAATTTTTGTACCAGTAGCAACTCTGTTTTATCGTTGGAATTGGCCATGACCTCTATAGTACCTACAGTAGAACTGCCTCGTACGTGCTTTCAGTTTTCATATTCCCTATACGTTTTTTATCTGAAACCATTTGTCCGTTTGTTATAACCAAGCTAGTCCATTAATTTTAATAGTTTAACAAGGTCATGATCGCAGGTGCTGTTGATGTAGCATCCGTTGCATGGCTGATCGATACAACTTTAACTGATATGCGCTTTTTCCGGGTACCCATGAAAAACCTACTAGTGTAACAATATCTAGTAGATTTCCTGTGCTGTGGCAATTGCGCTTTTTCCGGACATCAGATCATCAAAAACGGCGCCGTTTTCCAGCATCAGGAATGTGTCCAGATTTAATGATGCTTGTGGCTGTTGGACTGTCGAACAAGAAAAATTACAAAATAAGATGAAACAGATAATAGTTTACTGAATTTCAAATAACTGAATGATATTGTTGGCAATAAATATAAGCACCGGGACATTTTAAGGTACGAACAGCATGATAATTGTACCTGGCGCAGCGTTGCCCGCCGCCGTGTCACTGCCGATGTTCGCGTCGCCAGAATCAACTGCAAAGAATGCAAAAATTGGCTTTCAAAGCTAATCAGGCAATCGAAAAATACTGTACCACAATTTTTGAGGCTCGCTTTTGTTTTACCTGGAGCACCACGAGTGAAGACTACTACAGTCAAAAGAACAAGGCATGCAAGCATGATATTATCTGAGTTAGTTAGGAGTGATTTAGTGTCAGAATAAATTTTGGTGTAAGAATATTTTCGGTAAGCACATGATAACCATATGAGAATGTCAAAATCCACGTACAGATAGAAAACGAGAAAGCTTGAGAAATGATACCGTGGCGTGTTCGCCACCGATTTTATACCATTTTCCGGTAATGAAGCACACAATATCGAGTAGAAAGTACTTACAATGTATACCCAGCACTAAAAGCAGCAATAAATTCAGACATTCATAGCTGATGAAATTATTACTTTTGTCTCTTTTGCGGCAGGCCCTTATATTATGGCTTGCGCCGTGATCGTGTGCCATTAGCCGGCATGTGTTTGGCGTGATGGATCTCGGGTTTATGACCTACGTCGTCAAAATGTTTTGAATAACAACCTTTGCAGGAGTGCGTTTGCTGAGGGCTATTAAGTTTGATAATTTGCAGTTGGTTTCATTTAGTACGCCAAGTAGCATACTTTAACTGACCTAAATATTGTCTTGTTGTTTCGAACTGTGGTACGTCCACGATGTAATTTATTACACATAAAGAAAAGCGCATTCCTTTCCACAGTTACACTAGGAAAGAAGCATGTGAGTATCCAATAGAAGATACCATAATAAGTGCCAGTAAAAAGCAGCAAAAAACAAAATTAAATTAATATTTTCAGTCTTTAACTTTCAGGTGCCATTGAGGAAGAACTTTGAGATAGTGTGCGCCATATAAACACCGGCATTTTTTTATCCCGATGATCACCGTTAATTAATCTGGATGACCATTAACATTATTTTAATCCCAGACTAAAGCTTATGCTGTTCATTCAAATAATCCAAAACGTTGTTACGATCCCCTTCCCCTAAAACGTTATACAAATGCGGTTAAAGTTAAAACTTCAAATATGTATAACGATTACAGATAAAGTAAACCATAGCGCTTCTATGTGGTCTTTCGAGATAACAGCTCGTAAGGCATTACTTTTACTGGCACATCACCACGCAAAAGGCAAAATAGCTTGGACGAATCCTTCAGCAGATTTCGTGAAGATTCGCTCGCTTGGATATGTTGTGCTGCAAAAAGGAATGCTGCGTCAGGATAAATCAGGAGTGTAATAATTTAGTTAGCATCATACGAGAAGACGTTTCGGCCATCCGAGATGCCATGTTAACCGTATCGCCAAACCTGGAGGAACACCTAAGATTAACTGCTGACTCACGCACCGTAAAAAACTAGAACAGCGTTTCTCTTACAGACAATATCGTTTCATTCGCAAACCAACCAATCCAGCAGCCAACGACCCTTAAAAACGAAATGTCGTAAATTTTCTTCAGTTTTCGCGCAAACAGTTTCCAACAAACGCTTTTCTCTCTGCAAAACTCATAAAATTTCTCACCGGAATGCAAGCCAATCTGCAACTTCAGCTGGTGGGACGCGAAGATGCGCTTTTCACTGCACAACATGGCCCGCGAACACAGCAGTCCAATGTATTCCGCATGCAAGGTGCCGTTGCGCACAGGTACGCCGGAGACCAACTATCGTTTAACACGCAATACTTTCGATGATTACGGCGAAGTGATTAGATTTGCGCAAGCCTCTTATTACACCATTTACACGTACCATGTATGTGCCGCTAATAGTTTCCACTTTGTATGCATCGTATTCACCAATCAAATCGTCGAAGAACGTAAACACCTCATTGAGAAAGGTCACATACTCCCACGGTGATGACTGCAAGATGATTTCCGCGAAATCGCAGATGAGGACAAATGCTACCGTAGCACTGTCGAAAATCTCTGCCTCCACACTGAACCCGCGGATTAGGGCATCGGCAATCGTTCTGCAGCAGGGTCATAAAAGTTAAGTTAGCGCAAAATAAAAATTCGCAAGGGTGTTTTTCGCTATCAACATTTAATTTACAAAAATTGTACTTCGCTAGTTTATTTCGCAACAACAAGAGCGGCGAACGAGACACTAGTTCATGAAATGTCAAAAAGCGAAATCAAAGCAATGTGACAGTAGCCTGTGCGTTGTTCATATTATATGTAATACGGGCTTACGCAGGCAGTATGGTTTTTAACAGCTGCTCATTCCGACATTTTTCCACTCTTAGTTCCTGTGTCCGCTCCATAGCCTGCCTTTCCAAATCCTCCGCATAATGCTTCAACTTCCTCATAACTCGATCCATGTAGTTATCCTTGAAGCGTAGCACACGCATTAAACGCAGCTTAACCTTAGCTATCTTTGGTCGTTCCAGTGGGTCCTCCGCCCAACAGTGCTGCATGGCGAAAATGAGATCAATCGGAATAACCGGATCGGATGTTTTAACGAACGGCCGGTACGGTGATGCCGACTGGTTGTGCACCATCTGAATGACCTCAGTATCCATGCCGTCGGTGAAGATGCCGAACGGACGCACCGTAAACACAACTTCGTGCATAATGATTCCTAGTGCGTAGATGTCGGCTTCTCTCGTCGGATAGGCGCCAGAATTTCGGAGGATTTCCGGTGCTGTCCAGAGAAGTCGCGAATAGTTTTGTTTATTAAGAACAGTCTGTACGAAACAAAATTCACATCAAATACGGGACCAACAAAGCAAAAGTATTTATGTTCTTCAATATTTGTTAAGGTAAGCAATGCGATTTTGCTTTCTCTTACCTGGCCGATAATAGTCATCTCTTTAGGCCAGCCGAAATCCGTTAGCTTAACCACCAGCTGATTGGTTACCATACAGTTTGGGCTTTTTAAAGCGCCATGAAATTTTAAATCGGAGGAATGGATAAACGCAAGCCCCTAAGAAATCCGTAACGCTGTTAGAAACTATGTAAAAGTGCATACATATGTAGTAGTAATATGTGCGTACATTGATGATGTCAGCCAGCATGGCGGTCTTAAGATCCCAAGACAACCACGATGGTTTCTCCTCGATGATCTCGTACAATGATCCCTTTGGGCAGTACTGGGAGAAGATCATAATCTTGTCTTTTTCCAAGGCTACTCCCACCAGGTCAACAATGTTGTTGTGCTTTAGAGCGCTCCTCTGCAGTCAGCTGCCAGTTAATCGCAGATACTATTCACGAACAGACTTTTTTACCATGTTAATTCGCTTGATCAGTTTGCCGCTCAAATGCGTCGTGCCGTGGTTGAGCTGACCGGAGCGGCACCATACCAGCTGCGATCCGTAGACATACACGTTCCGGTATGCCAGGGTGCCGGTTTTTGTGTGCCGAGAATGCAGCTGTTTATGAAAGACGGTAAACAAATATCATTACGATCTATAACTAAGCAACTTTAAAAATCTCTAAAATGCAAAAGTTAACGAAAACAATGGAAAAATAAGAATAGTTAAAGACGGCAGATTTAAGTTAATGCATGTGAATATTTCGTACGTACAGAATGCGAAGATCCGGTGGTCTCGTACGTTCCGAACGACGGAAAATACCTTTGCACTTGATTGGCTGGTATCAGCCAGTTGACACTGCGACTTTGTTGATGTCTGCGGTTGCATGAATGAGCAAACACAGCTATTATTATCGATAATGCAGTGATGTTGCAAAATGGATTAACGGGATAGGTTTAATTCCTGTGGCCTGTACAGCTACCTACCTTCGGATGAAGCACATTCCAATAAAAATTACAGCAGCTATAAGCGCCACAGCCGTGGTTGAGGCAGCAATTGTCGTAATGGATGACTCTGGAGCTACAAAGTGTGAATACCAGAAATAAGGCAATTAATTCACTACATATGCGAATATATTTGTAACAAAAATTTTGCGTTGCAAATAATTACTCAAACCACGTTGGTGGCACTTGGGATTTTCCCCTCGAAATCCGCATGCTGGGCGGTTCAGCGGCGCACTGCCATTCAGTGGCCATCTGGTTCCGTTAATGGCAACGAGGTGACCAGACTTTTTGTCGTACTGGTAAATTATCTGCTCGTACAGTACATTCGCTCAGTTTCGCAGAATTAAACCTTGTTGTAATACTATGTATAAAATATAGAAGGTATTCATACTTCCATGTTGTCGCCACCCTCAACCAAGCCTCTCACGCCCATTGCGCTATCAAAATCTCCATTGGAGTTGATGTTGTAGTAACCAAAATCGGTATCGAAACTGTGATTCCATATTAGTTTCGATAGCTCGACGCCAGAAACGGTAGCTGCCTGTAATCCTGCTAAAACCTAATGCAATGGAAAAACCACAAAGGTTTTTCTCTATTTAATGCAGCAATGCAACGTTGCACTGCAGAAATTGCCCCGGAACGTCAATACCTGCGCCAAAATTTGGATGCCCACGTAGTACCCGCGGCCGTAAACATTGATCTAAAAAAATACAGAAACGGAGCATACAGATTATGGATACAGGCGTGCGACCCCCGACTAATGCCAGCAAAAGGGACATGTAATGTTGGAGTTGGTATTAGACAGTACCTCTTCATCACCATTATACTGCACACCGTAAATAGAAGACGATCTGTTTTTGATCCGGATTGAAAGGTCATCGGTTTGGCCGATTCGAGCCGGCATACAGGAGACGAGCAACAAGTAGCGATAAGCCGCTTTGGCTAGCTGAAACAGTGACTTCTTTATTACTGCAGCATTAAGAAGGGTAAGGAGGATGTTGCTGGGAGAACTTGCCGCATCATCGTCCTCGTTAATTTTCCAGGTTAGCTTTCCAATAAACGGGGATGCGAAGGGAAGGATACCAATAAACGCCTGCAATTGATTCCGTAAGAAAAGTCATCTTGGGAAGCTGATCTTGAAGGTGGCAAAATCTGCAATGTTCTTACATACTCTCCGTTAGCCATTCCCATTTTTGAGGCCACTACCTAAATTACAGGAAATATCTTATACAGTAACTGTATTAATACGGGCAGTCGTTGAGCGAATCATGGTACATACCAGGATATTGCGTAGACGGGAGCCATGTGTGCTGATTAAAAGCACTAGAAAAGTAATATGAAAAGGTCAAGTGTCAAGCGAGACAGACGATACAGTAGATGTACTCGTATTCGAAAGCCCCTTTAATATTAATTTTCTTCAGGAACTGTCATGATTGGTTTAGCGCGTGCACCTCGGCTGTATGTTGCCGCTTCCGTCAGATATCTCTCGTAATCCGGATTGGCTTTAAAATCGTAGTGCAAATGTGTAAGGACAACGGAATGCCGCTTCTTGATAACATCTGGCAGTGCCCGACAGATTAAGAAGAAGGTATTGAACTCGGTAGCACTATCATCGCAGATCAGCGCCAGATTGGTCCAATTGTACTGCTGCAGCAAGCTCATAACAACGTCCGTCAGGTCTTGCTGCTGGAACGGAGCTAGACGCAAGAGGGTCGGGAAGCGACGTTTGTTCTCGAGTGCGGCGTCGGTACCACCCCTGAAAACGAAGCAAAAAAATTAATAAAGTACAAGAAAAATGCTAGTATATGCATAAATGGTGCGCAAATCTTTGTACGTACAGATACCAGTAAGTAAGGATACATACAGCAATGAGCAGATAAGTAAGCCATACACGATTTGCACTCACGCTGTCATAACCAAGATATTCCACTCTGAAAATCAATTCATTTTAAAATTCATGACATTATTTATCTGCTCTGCGCAAAGAAAAAAATTAAGCATTTATAGAAATGATCAATAAGTAAAGATCGTTTACCAACCTCTAGCAAGGTCTGCAAGATACCCAACCGCTTCGCTGCATGCTGTAATCGGATAAAACTCTTTTATTATTTAAGATCGTCAAATACATAAGAAACCTAACTGAATCTCCATCAAATATTTATTACGGTTGCTCGATACACATATATGTACTTGATTACTTCATATAGCTTCACTCTTCTTTGGTTGAGGTTAGTACTTCATATAACATCTTCGCACACTAACATCTTGTAATTTTTCAAAGTTTCGCCTATTAACAATAAGTAACCTATAACAAAGGAATTTCGCCGTTAAGGTAAAAAATGCCATAACCAGTTTATATCCACAGAATACAGATACTTCGTAGTCCGTACTTGAAGACAAAACTATAAAGTTTAATAATCTTATTTAGCCGTTCTTGGTGGTAGTCACTCACCGGTAGCAAGCAGAACAAAAACATCGTCAGCCGACTGCTTCCAGCGTTGTGCGGTGTAGTATTCCGTCACAAAGGGTAACACATCATTTTGTACATCACCACATGTGCGCGATTGGTTGCGCTGCCAGTCAACGACAGAAAATACCATATTATCATCCATATACCTCTCGTTGACGGTCATCACTGCCAGGTCGATCGGTGCTCCGACATAGTTCAGACTGGACGGCAGTGATGTCCACGACTGTACGGACAACAGAATGACTCTCCGGCTATTGACGCACGAAGCTAGTATCATAAAAATCAAAAAAATTCTGCTGCAGTAGCAGTATTTTCGCTTCTCCATCGCATTACGCGGCTGTGCCGATCATGCAGTTTAAATACTGTGAAATGCACTAGATTCAGGATAAATATTTTATAAACTGTTGCTGCCAGATTGAGCACCGTCACAATATGAAAAAGAATCGCGGTACGCCATGGATATTTGGACTGAATATTCAGGAAGCAAGTCCGAGCAAAGAGCGGTTTGTGGGGAATTCGCCGAGGCATGCATGGGTCATTTCTGTGTTAGAGCAGAAGGACTGCGTAATGGTGAAATCCCATGTGCCACGAGCAACAGCGCTCCGACCGAATCAAAACAAAATATTTACACAGTAAAATTAACTCGTCCGTGACAGTGTCATGCAGCGTCTCAACACGGCGTTTACTGGAAGCTGCGGCGTTATTGCGGCACACCTCACGCAACGGACCACCTAATTACGCTCTCGTTATCCACTTCAAGGCACCTTCGAAAAACTGCTGCGTTGGCAAATTTAATACTTATTGGCACTGCTAGTAAAGTAGACTGTAGATATGTATTGCTCTGGATGCCGTGCTTTCGACAGAAGGGTTTCCTGTAATCCGAATGTAGTTGTACACGAATGTTGTTGCGGAGATTTACGTTGTGGACGTATCACATACGGTATTAACTGCAAGTAATTTTTAATTAACCCGCTCGGTTACACCCACGTAAGCTCTCCATCCGGCGCAGCCCTGCCAAAGCCAGACTGAATATTAAGTCCTCGTCATAATTTATTAACTGTTGGCAGTTGGAGAGTACAACTGGAGAGGTCATTTGAAGGATAACTGAAACGGAAGTATCTGTGAACGCTAACCAGCGTCAAGGTGGGATAACTACCTGTTTATTATCCCATTACAAGGCACAATACCATATAAGCAATATCACATAAGGGAAAGCAACATCCAGTCCAATCTTCACAGAAACATTTCACTGAACCAGCTCAGAGGCCAAGATTCCGCTTAGGCCGGTTTCAGCAACATATGTTGTTTTTCTGTTGTACATGGTTGTGCTGCGACATATCTGATTTTATAAGCTAAAACTTTAAATGATTTGTTGAATGAAACCGGCTTAATTGCTACTCTGATAGATCGTGGGGTGTGTTTGCTTTGGCTAAGTAGTATGTCATAGATACAGAGCGCTGAAAATCGCCTGAAATATAAATTGTTGGAAAACTTTATGGATTTAGATTCAGGCAAACGTTATTCTGGTTTTTTTTTATTTCGCCATCGCCAGTAGGAATTATTTGCAATAAATAGACAAGCCCGTGCGCCAATAAAACATCCATAATGCTTCGCTCCTGCTTTTGATGACCTTTAGTAACATAAAGTTGATGCATCATCTATTACGTTTGTTGACGCTTTGGCAGTCTGCACTGTAATACTTCATCTATCTACACGGCATATTAGCGTAATAAGCGCAAGGATCTTGAGCAAACTGCGCAGTAGCAGCGCAAATTATACGCCAAGATCCGTGACCTGCGGGACCGAGACGTAGAGATTTGTTCGGCCATTTCCTCTTAATTTACGTTGCTAACCACCTTTCGTCAAAAGCAGGAAAGCAACACCTTGTGAAACTTAATTTCTAACGGGAAATGTCTAATAATATCGTCCACCACCCTATAGCAGTAAAGCCACACCACGAAATCGATAATTGTTTTCCGTATACGCGAGTCTAATTAGCTTGTCACATAATTACGAGCGCTTACTACGTCACCAGTAGATGGGAGTGTAGTGTCTAATCATGTATCAAAACGTTAGAGTCGATACAGGACTAATACCATGAAGCAGCGACATTACGTCAGCAAGGCAATGAGGAGATCAATTTGCATAAAACACAACACGGGATATTGTGGTCAAATAAAAGAACATCATAATCTTACCTTGGAGCTTGACACGTTCAGTTGTGCCATAGAAGACACGTTCAGTTGTGCCATAGAACCACCGATCCATGTAGTTTCAGATACAACACGCACAGTAAAGGTTTTTTTCCTATTATGATCATAACCTGGATTTGTCAGTGAGCACCGGAGCAGACTCTAAGTTTTACCGCACCGCCGTTGCATAACCCTACCTTGTGCCTTCCGGTAGGCAGTTATGCGAACCGTCGACAATTATTGACAGTTGAGAAAAAACGGAAAAGCCTAATGGGTCACAAGCCTTTTTCCTGTGATCTCCTTTCGCCCCAGAGCGCCGGTGTATGAGCACCTCGCTGGATTCGCCGGATGATATAAGAAACGGCCATATAACCGGCATTCTCAGTGCATCCACGGCAGTGTGAGAATGGGATGCCAGAGTATGCTGTGTCGAGATTTTGTGGTCTTTTGAAAATCATGTCTGTTCTTTTATAATTTGGTATCGCTGCCGCGTATTTGTTTCCTGCTTGTTCTAAACGCTCGACGCCGGTAGTCGAATCATCTTCTTCCATTTCAACATACCTTGTGAAGGTAAGAAATTGAATTTTAATTATTTACCATAGGTGTTTACGCTTGTGTGTTACTTTGTATCATATGATTATGTATTTCATTGGGAGAGTTTTAAATCCGACTATCCGACGTGTTGCCCTTTGTTCAACGACTCGAGCAAAATCTCCATGAATGATACAAATACGTGCATGAATGATACAAGTACCTCCACTCCTGTTATACTTCCTCCTATTATACTTCCTCGCAGCACGCTAGCTCGCTCCTAAATTAAGCCGTTTGTTTGTAAACCTGTCCTGTACAATACTGTTTAATTAATACAGATTGAACATTAACTTAATAATTAATTATTGGGTAATATGAGTTTACTGTATTAAAAATAACTGCTAATATGCTAAGAAACCGCATAGAAAAGTCGGCAAAACGCAGGTAAGCGGTATGAGACACTACTCGTAATAATCCCTCCAGCAAGAAATCAGTGCGTTCGTCGACCTCACGCACGGCACTAACTTTTACTACATCTCAAGCGCTACATTGAGTTTTTTTCTTGGAAAACCACATACAAAGAAGGTGTCACAAATCATGATGGCACTGATCGATTTTTCTGTAAGACCGACAACATCAAACCAAAAGCGTGGTTAATAAATTGCGGGCTATTTTTAAGCCACATATCGAAGCAGCTAAGCATCACTACAAATCAAAATAATTCGATTTAAATTCTATACTTGTTTGTTGGATAAAAATAAGTACACATTTTCAACAGTCATTACCGCTGCGTCAAATTGACGCCACCTATTCCAGTAAGCAGCCTTATAAACATTTCCCTCAACGGGCGTTACTCGACCGCTTCATGATCTCTTTTGCGACGTAAAACTGCCATAATGTTCTGCAAAATTTACCGCTACCTACGTTACACTTCTCCAACCTTTTTCGTACTTATACGGTTGTATTTATTGGTTAACCATTTTAACCAATTATCCTTGTCCGTTGACCAGATGCTGCGCCCAAGCTTGGTAGTTATCCTGGTCATCGCTTACGTCTACGGACAGGATGACCTTTACAATGACAGCGACACCGGGCTGCGCGATTTCCTGGACGTAGATCCGGCAGTGATGGCGCTGCCGGATATCATCAGTGGACCGGTTGATAAGCGTCACATCTTCTACACCGGAGGATGGGGCGCCGGTGGCAGTACCATGGGATATCCGCGCGGCAAGGACATCAAAGTACAGGCGGCCCGCAAGAGCTCCGACCAACCGGTTCCCGGGGTGTCCGGTGCTGGACAGCCCAGTGCCAGCAAATCCGGCCGAGTTCGCCAGCTGTTCCTCTCCCGCAACTGGGGACCGGGATGAATCGGTTGGTATGAGGGACCAGTGAATAGCAGAGCTGTTGCGTATAATGATGTAGCAGTAATGCGGCTGTTAGTGTACTGTTGTTTCGTAGCGTTATTCAGTGCAACTTTGACCTTTCCCTAGCTTTGCTTCTGTGCACAAAGGTATACAATTGGGCGATTTCAACTTGAAATAAATTACTCGGGCACAAATTCAAAGCACAACAATTAAGTTGAAACTAGGTGTAGCAGCAAAATGACCGACAGAAGCAGTTCACTGTTTTTCGTTGTCACGGCGTCATGACTGATTTTAAGTCCCACTGCACTTCATTGTTACCAACAATCTGTGAATACTTTATTTTAACAGCTCGAAAAACAATAGTGTCAATATTCAAAATGTCGCGCTTACGTCTACTAAGTTTGCTTGTTCGATTCAGAGTACGAGTTACTGCAAAATTAGGTTTACACTCATAGTTACAAATACAGGTCATTCACCGACGGTTACATCTAATCCAGACATTATTATTATTGTATATTGCCGCTACGTTAACGTGCTTGCATGACTTGGAGCACGATACGGAAAAGCAAAACAATAACAGCACGACGATCTTTCTCATGCGCCTGCTAATATTAATAATTCTAAATGTGCAGTCCGCACATTATCCATATGACGTCAGACGTATGTATATTTAACTTCGCACGTAAATCATTTTAACAGTAATCACAAGCGCTGGCACACTAATTCATGGTTAAAATTTAAACATGAAAAAAACAACCAAACTCTCTGTCATCCCTAGAGTTAAAGGGTAATGTACTCAAAACGGCGGTAGTGTTTCCACTGAATTTTATGAAAATTCTTTTTGTGTTCCAGTACACAAAAAGAGTTTCTGTATACATAAAGAAATAGATAATATTTTTATTATATATTTCTGTACATATACAGAAAAATGTTTTTGTCCTTACTCAAACACTGCATTGGTTAGGGCCGTTAGGCGTCGAACACTGCATTGTTAGAGCACACGGCTTCGCATGGCGATTCCGCAACCCACATCACAACTTCTATTCAACAAATTCAAAAATTAACTCCTCTTCGTACACGCACTGCCGCATCGCCTACTTACCAGGGCCCCGTCACCGGCTATAAATTCAGAAAAATTTGATTTTTGCAGGAAGATAGAAACATTGACATAAGCAAAAAAAATTATTTGCAGCTGCTGTGATCAATGGATCAATGTTGGTGTGTGATTGCTAATTCTAACAAAATACGGTATTTAATACAGCACGTTGCATTTAAATAATCACATAATAAAATTTCATTATCTCGTACTGATTTACCGTTTACTCTCATAACGCGCCAATATGAATTTAAGTATTGAGAGCCAATAAAATTAGGTTTGCCAACAAAATGCGGTCATATTGTTGCTGACGTGACAACCGAAAACCTACTACAGCGTAACGCTGATCGTTTGTGATGAACTATGCAGGTTTATTCCCACAGATAATGCACGTGGAACATACTATATGAATTTCAACCTAAGTTACGGTAAATCACATTTCGGTGCCACGCAAACCAAACTAATCATTACCATGCGCTGGAACTATATGCTTATTTTATTTATCGCTATTCTGAGCATCCTTGCGGTTACCTTTACACTACGGCATCCAGGTAAAATAAGCGTTTTTAAATAAAATATATGTATGTATGTAGTATGTACATAAAATATGTTCACATGTACATGTACATTTTATGACATCTGCTTTAGAGCGTTACTGCAGTTAGTCTTTAATTACGTAAAAATAGCTTCTTTTCAGCGGTGATTTACCACTGAATCCATGTTAGACGTAAATCTATTTTACAACAAAGAAAATTTACCTAACCACCGATTACGAAGCGTACATCCAGCGCTTTGTTATAAACTAGCAGTATTTATTCGCAGCATGCATAACATACCGGCATAGGATGATCAGTGGATATATCATACGTCAGTGCATTATTGAACTAATGCAGGATGATAAAGTACTTCGCATCGGAAAACAACCGGAGCGATGCCGAATTCCCGGATCTACAGTTTTCCCGCTGTTCAACGCTTTTGATCAACGATTCTCCCAACAAAGCATGGCATGTTTACGGGAATGTGATTTACACAGGATTATTCGGGAGACGTTTGACCACGCCCTGGAAAGTAACCTTTCCGATGAGGAGTTCGTCAGTGAAGATCAGATGTACGGTGTCATTAGTCGGCGGTGCGGTTATTCCTTCCTAAAATAGTCTCCACCACGAATTTTACCGATTTAATGTGGCAGAATACATTTTGGCTAGAACACTCGGAGCGTCCTGATCAAAAGATCAAGTTCCTCAACGACAAAGTGGCCAACGGGAATAAGTGGATGAAAGCGCTGTTCAAGAGCGGGCCAGTGTTTCGCGCCCTGGATTCACCGCGTACCGCCCTGGACCCACAGTCACAAGAGGATCTTACTAGTATCGTGACGAAGGTCAATACCTCCGAGGGAATGGTGCAATGGGATGGAGACATGTTTGTCATTCGGCCAATGACGCTGTACTGCCTCAATCTGGATACAGTACGATCGACGGAGAAGTTTGGGAATTTCACGGTATGGGCCAGTGGTAAGGCGGGTGATTTGTCGGCAACCGTGAATATTCCGCTGACTAATCTGACAGCGACGACGGTGGAGAAACAGTGGACGTTGTGCCACTGCAAGTGCACTTGTTAAGTACGAGTTATCTACAAGAACCGAAATAGTGGTGTTCTTTCCTTTTGCTTGTCATGCTTGTCACTGGCTTTACAGCGAGCTTATGGCGCCATGCTTCCTTGACAATTATTCTTACACCAGCGCGGAAGAAATTTATGTACATTGGTGTTCTGCAGACTGTAGGCGTCTTATTTCATTGTTGTCAGATGCTGGTTTTTATTGAAGGCAGTAATAATGAGATTTCTTGTCGTTCAAGTTGGTCTTTTGATAACAATACAGTTCCCGTTGCATTAAGTATTAACAATACGCACCCTGTCTGCTGGTGAAAGTAAGAGTGTCTGTTCTATTGAGAGACAGCATACGAAACCTATATTTTTGACATCCGAGCAAGTCCATTTCTTTGAATGGAAAACTAATGAGATTTTTGTCCCTTAAAAAGGATCAAGGGGCAGACAGAACGGCTTACAGGAGTGCGCGGTCCCGTAGCCGGTAGTTACATACTGTGGCATTTATGCAGTTGTCAATTGTGATAGACGAAAACCATCGGTCGAAATTAGTGTGAATTAGGAAGTCCACTGCACCGTGGAGGAAGAAAAACCTTTAACTGTCAGTTCGAACAGGTGGACTGCAGAGCTAGCTGCATTAAGCTGCACTACCCCATATAATTATGTACTCGTACTTGTTATCTTATTGATGCATTCAGTTATAACTGCTATTATTGTTACTAATACGTCCTAGTTCGGAAAAAAAATGATTTCAACTTCATCACCTCCGTATGAGCGTCTCTTGTTTGATGCGCAGCAAATGAGCTATCAGAACACTGTTATCGTTCGCACAGACGTCGACGTTTATCTGCTGGGAAATATTCAGAATATCTCCGGAGACTACGCGTTCATCCACTTTGGATCCAAAAAGGTCAAACCCAGCTGGATCCATACACACAGCGTGTGGCCGTTACATTTCCCTGTGGACGCTTACAAGGATGGGTTACTTATCTACCTGAAGGTATTTGCCGCTCTCCGCGACGAAGATGACGGGCCATATCGGTTTCGCCCTGCAGTTGTGGTCAACGGCGTTGCTACGTGCCGTAACTGCCAAATCTTGTGTATTGAAGCACCGAGTTGCCCAACTGAAAGCGCTTCTTGCACGCCTCGCATGGAGTTGGTGGATAAATGCCAAGTTGCCGTCCAACTTCCGGTCACAGAGCCGCCGCTGCTAAGTCGAGTCGACGGGTTAATGTACAGAAAATTCTTCGTTCCCTTTGACAGAGCGCAACAAGTTTTCAGGGACACCTCCGACAGATCGCGAATCATTAAGCATGTTCGCGACACGATGAAGCGCGATGCGCGGTTGGCCGACTTGTCAGACTGCTGTCGATTTCATCTGCGAATCCAACGAGACGGATGTATGTTCATTGTTATCAGTTTGACAGCAGACCCGGAAGCAGCGCGATGGATGGCTGCAGCACTATCCAAAACGTTGCTAACCCATCTAGCCAGCCGGACCGACTTGACGCACTTCTGCCATACAGACCTTGGCGACAATAAAGAGCTTCCTTACGATGCAGGTGAGACCGTTAGAGATGTGATCACGCTTCCCCGTTCCCAGACTTGCACCCGGTTTTATTCGAGAAAAAAGCGCCCATGTCTTCTTCATCCAAAAGATGTCCTTTGGATGGTTGTTTTTTGAGTTCCAAAAAGCCATAATATAGTTTCGTAGACCATGTATTTTAGACGTGAAAATGTACATAAAAAGGGGCTCCATAAGTATACTGAAACATGCCGTTCTAAAGACGGCGTGTTGTGCTCCGACGATGTCTAAAGCACGTCAAAAAATTGCTTGCCGTAGAACCGGGGCACCCTCTTATCGACGAACTATTGTACAAAATTATCCGGGAGTGGATGAAAATTTTAGATTTATTTAGACATTTACTTAATAGGAAATATTTTGAAATATTAAACAACATTTACAAAATACTGGGGAAAGAGGACATGATTCCACAAGTGTATGTAATACTGCACAGTGTATATCGCATGATATTGTTAGGAGCGTGGCTCTGCTCGATCGTTAGGTTGCTGGCTATAACGGACAGTATCTTGTCCGTTGTACTGTATATTGAATATTCTGCTGTATTCCGTTATATATTCCATTATCTTGTCCGTTGTATATTCCGTTTAAATATATTCCGTTATATACATATTATACATACGTATTATCCGTTAGATATTCTGCTGTTATGCCGATAGCCTAGTGGTGCCATAGAGCGACCGAACAATACTGCTAGTAGCTCGCGAAGCGGTATTGGTTCTTTTGTCCCTCTATGTCTCTCTGTGACAGCAATTACCAGTAACTAAAATCTCTCGTGTAAGGCGCTTTCTGCTTACAGCGGTCAAACGCTTCTGGGCTTTTATTACTGCCGGTCAATGTACGTAATTACGCGGACCACGAACTGAAGGTTCCCAAGCGTAGCGTACTTAATGTTGTGTACTG